ATATATATATATATATATATATATATATATATATATATATATATATATTACAATAGATTAATGTATATATGCATAAACAAATATAAAGTTCTTGTTGTAGGTTTTGGTTCTTTGTTAAAAACAAAAATTAAAGAGTATACAGTTTTTCTAAAACTACAGCCACTAAAAAACGCAGCATATGTGATAGAAGCACAGCAGCAGTGTTTGTTTAGCCATTTTTACACGAACCTGGTAATAAGGCATGTCTGTACATTAAAAAAACAAGAATAATTATTAATCCATGTTTAGTTTCAAATCAACACTTTAACGTTCACTTGTATCTAAGGAAGGCTGGGGAGGTAAAAAAAGATTAAGGGGTGGAATTAGGATAAGTTACAGCTCATGAGGTACTCCATCAGAGCATCTCTGACACCTCGGCCCTGCTCTCCATCTTGTGGGGCAGCGACCGGGATGGGCTGTGCGGCTGGTTCTGCTTCAAGTTCATCGAGGTCATCCATTTTGGTTGTGTGTTGTTTTCCGGCTCTTCTTCTAATACATGTTAGTGGTGCTTAGAAAAGAGCTTAATGTAGCACTACCGCCACCAGCTGGTAAGGTGCGTTGATATTAATAATCCGCCCACTAGAGGTGAACAATCCGCCCACTAAACGGGAACTATAGGCAAAGTGGAGACACAAAAATAGAGGTCCCACTAGAACCGGACACAACAGGCTACAACAAGAACCAGACCTGTGGATACCAGGCTTAAGAGTGTGGAAAGGGTTTATAAAGCCTTAAATATGTATAAAAAATAAAATAAATATAACGTCACTACTTGATTTTCACCTACTGCGGGGGTCTCTGGAACGTAACCCCTGCAATAAGTGAGGGATCACTGTAATGGACATTTTGAATAAGGTTGACTCAGAAAGTTAATCAGTTGTAGATGTATAGGTGCATCTAAAAAACTGGAATATCATGAAAAAGGTCATTTTTTGTCAATCATTTCGGAAAGTCAAACTCGTACTCAGAGTGAAATGTTTCATACATTTATTTCTTATAATTTTGACGATTATGACTTACAAATAAGGAAATATCTTGCTTTTGTATGCACCTGTAAATACAATAATCAGTCACTGTTCATTTGATCTACAAGAGCTTCTGCATGTGACAGCAACAGCTCTGCAACAATTTTATATGACCACTGTTGTTTTTTCAGATGAGTCCAAAGCTGTTGTTGCAAATCTAACAGTAAGTACTGGCTCCTCCTTCATATATTTCAAGCTTAAAGAAGTGTAGCGTGTGAGAAAATGTGGAAAAATAAAGTTTTTTTGGACTAATTATTGTGGAACATATCAAGTGTCTGTCACTTCTTGATTGACCAGATTTTTTTTTTTTTT